CACTCCTCCTCCTCCTCCTCCTCCTCCTCCTCCTCCCCCTCCTCCTCCTCCTCTTCCTCCCCCTCCTCCTCGCAACGCTTTCCTAGGTGATGCTGGGTGGGGGACAGGCAAACCTGTGTCCTAGGTGGAGCCCCCCATGGGGCCACGAAACGCTGTCCTGGGTGGGGGAGACGCATGCGAACACCCCCACTGGAGCCTTCGGTGGAGCTCCCTATGGTGCCACGAAACGCTGTCCTGGGTGGGGGAGACGCATGCGAACACCCCTATTGGGACCTTCGGTGGAGCTCCCCATGGGGCCACGAAGCGCTGTCCTGGGTGGGGGAGACGCATGCGAACACCCCCAGGGGCCTTCGGTGGAGCTCCCTATGGGGCCACGAAACGTTGTCCTGGGCGGGGGAGACGCATGCGAACACCCCTACTGGGACCTTAGGTGGAGCTCCCTATGGGGCCACGAAACGCTGTCCTGGGTGGGGGAGACGCATGCGAACACCCCCACTGGGGCCTTCGGTGGAGCTCCCTATGGGGCCACGAAACGCTGTCCTGGGTGGGGGAGACGCATGCGAACACCCCTACTGGGACCTTCGGTGGAGCTCCCTATGGGGCCACGAAACGCTGTCCTGGGTGGGGGAGACGCATGCGAACACCCTACTGGGACCTTAGGTGGGTGGAGCTCCCTATGGGGCCACGAAACGCTGTCCTGGGTGGGGGAGACGCATGCGAACACCCCCACTTGGGCCTTCGGTGGAGCTCCCTATGGGGCCACGAAACGCTGTCCTGGGTGGGGGAGACGCATGCGAACACCCCTATTGGGACCTTCGGTGGAGCTCCCTATGGGGCCACGAAACGCTGTCCTGGGTGGGGGAGACGCATGCGAACACCCCCATTGGGCCTTCGGTGGAGCTCCCCATGGGGCCACGAAACGCTGTCCTGGGTGGGGGAGACGCATGCGAACACCCCCAGTGGGACCTTCGGTGGAGCTCCCTATGGGGCCACGAAACGCTGTCCTGGGTGGGGGAGACGCATGCGAACACCCCTATTGGGACCTTCAGTGGAGCTCCCTATGGGGCCACGAAACGCTGTCCTGGGTGGGGGAGACGCATGCGAACGCCCCCAGTGGGACCTTCGGTGGAGCTCCCTATGGGGCCACGAAACGTGTGAGGGGTGTGACGACATGGGCGGTGGGGACGATGATGAAGACGATGATGAGGATGAGGATGTGGATGAGGATGATGCTGCAGATGATCATTCTGACGGAAGAGAGAAGAGGAGGGGGAGGAGGGAGGAGGGGGAGGAGGAAGGAGGAGAGGAACGCGGGGCACCGTCTCTTCAAAACGAGGACCCAACACCACAGGATGGTTGGGAACAAAGGGCCCGCGTCTTTGAAAACCCCCATCCCTCGGACAGAGAAGCAGCGGATGCGCGTTCCACAAGACACGATCCTGAGGCCACGATCCCGCGTTTAAAAAAAGGGAACCGCGTCTTTGAAACCGCCATCCCTCGGACAGAGAAGCAGCGGAGGCGCGTTCCACAGGACACGATCCCTGCCGAAATGACGGCGGAGCCGCACCTTCGAGGCCACGATCCCTCGCAAGAAAACGGTAGGCCAACGCCTTCGAGACCACGACCCCTGGTAACACAACGATCGATCCGCCAATTGCAGGCCAGAGTTCCTCGCAGCCAAAACGGGCCCACGATCCCGCGTACACAAAAATATGGATCGGCACCTTCGAGGCCACGATCCCTCACAACCAGAATATGGATCCGCACCTTCGAAATCACGATCCCACGAACAAAATAAATGATCCGCGAATTCGGAGCCACGACACTGCGCATAGACGAAAAGGATCCGCGTATTCGAGGCTGAGATTGATTGTTCCCAAAACACGTACGCACAAACAAATTAAAGCAACAAACAAACGAGCAAGTATCACACACACAGAGAATAAAGAATGCAAAAGCATAACAACACAATCAAAACAAGTTACGCAAACGCAACACATAATAAAACAACAACTGGAAACAAAGCACGAAAACGAACAACCACAACACAAATCAGTTTCAGATTGTTCGTTATTGTTGGCTCGCGTGTCGCTCAACATGAATAACGCACACCCTCGATACCCGCACTCTTCGTCTTCGATCGTACCCCCTTTGAGGGTATATCTTCCTTACCTGCCACGTGTGGTTGGCGCAGCCCCTAAACCAGAGGAAGGCAGGGAAAATGGAAGCGACAAAGGGGATGGAGAAGGATGGAACATGAGAGAGATTAGCAGGAGGGGTCAGGAGCAGGAGTACAAGCGGCAGAATCAGACGGACGAGTCGGGCGGGCGGACCCAAACGGGCAAGTCGGGCGGGCGGGCCCAGACGGCCCGGTCGAGCGGGCGGGTCGCTGAAGCGTCAATCCGACATGAATCGCAAGGAAGTTTCGAGCGATGGCGCGATTCCCAGGTAAATCATCAGGAAATCATTCGCGAGAGCGTGATTCCTGAATCTTGGGGGCACGGCGCTGCGATAAATTGCGAGGAAGTCCAACGCGAGCTCGCGAGTCATGCATACATTCTGAGGATGTCCCGCGTGAGGGCGCGATTTCAAGGTAAATTGTGAGGAAAACAATGCGGGAGCCGATGTTGTTGTACACCGAGGGCCAAGAGCAATTGAGTACCCTGATTTTCCATTCTAAGAGAACAAGGCGTGAGCCCCGTAAGAAGCACTTGAGTTGAAAAAGCAGACTGGCCACTGGAGAGGGTGATCAACATTACTTATTCTTTAGAAATGAGAATTCAGCGATAACGACAACGACAACAATAACATTCATTTTCAGACTGTTCGCTCTGACCTGGTCGCGTGCCATCCAAAACGTGTATCCCAAACCCTTGGTACCCGCCCTCTTCGTCTTCGATCGTACCCCCTTGGGGGTATACCTTCCTCACCTGCCACGTGTATTTAGCGCAGCCCCTAAAACAAGGGGAGAGAGGACGGATGCAAGTGGGAGGGAGAAGGATGGAGCACGGGAGAGATGAGCAGGAGGGGGGCTAGGAGCAGAAAACACGTGGCAGAACCAGACAGGCAGATCGGACGGGTAGACCCTAAAAGGCGGGTCGGGAAGGCAGGCCCCGGCGGCCAGGTCGAGCAGGCGGGTTGCTGAAGCGTGAGTCCAGCATAAATCGCGAGGAAGTTTCAAGCAATAGCACGAAGTCCAAAAAAATCGTGAGAACAAACAAATCGAAAGCGCGATTCCTGAGCGTCGAGGGCGCGGCGTTTGAATAAATTCCAAAGAAGCCCCACGCAAGAGGGCGATTCCAGCATAACGTGTAAGGAAGGTCAGCGCGAGAGCGCGAGTTTGACATAACTTGTGAGGCTGTATCAGGCAGGAGCAGTTGTTGTTGTAGTTCGGGGCCCAACAACGCAGTTCGGTGACACCAAACCCTCCCTGATAAACAACTGGGTGCCAGCCACGGGTGGAGCACTTGAACTCAGAAAACACACGGATCACCGGAGGGGGAGAATCAACAATAAGTACTCTGTAGAAATGAGAATTCAGCCATCATCTTAAGACAGTTCGCTCTCACTTGCTCGCGTGCCATCCAACAGTCATGCCCCAAAACCTCGATACCCGCCCTGAGGGCGGTCCTTTTCCTTTGGAAGCGGGCAAATCGCTATGATCCTGCCGATTTGCGCTTCTTATAGCTAGAGAAGTACTCCAGATTTCGTAATAAAAGGGAGGGGGTCTGGACCCTCCAAGACAAGCCATTTCAGACCTCCCCCGTGGGAGAACCCTCCAAAACATCGTCCCCAGACCCCCCCAGGCCCTCCAAGATAGCCTGGAAGAGACCCCCCCCGAAATGAGACCCCCCTCCCTTTCTTACGAACTCTGGAGTACACGATCGGTCCGGGACGTCAAAGATGGCCCCAACACGGCCCAAGAAGCCTTCGAGGCGCCCCAAGAGAGCCCCAAGAGCATTCCCAAGATGGCCCCGAGAAGCCATGGCGGATCATTTTCAAGATCATTCTCCAGAACGGGGCTCTCGCCTGAACGACAGGGATGTGGCGCGCCCCGACTTTCGCGGAGGCGCCCCCGGCAGCGGGGCGGAATTGTCGCAGGGCGTCGTGAGGACGGGACTCGGGACGGGAGGGCGTCTTGCAGCATCGGTGGCGCATCCTGGCTTTACTCTTGTCCTCGCCTCCTCCTCCCCCTCCTCCTCCTCCTCCTGGAGCTCCTCCTCCTCCTCCTCCTCCTCCTCCTCCTCCTCCTCCTCCTCCTCCTCCTCCTCCTCCTCCTCCTCCTCCTCCTCCTCCCCCTCGTCCTCCTCCTCCTCCTCCTCCTCCTCCTCCTCCTCCTCCTGGGGGGCAAGAGGGCACCCATACCACTGCTCCACGGACCTCTACAGGGGTGAACTCTGACCCGGATCTCGCGGAGCATCTAGCCGTGTGGCGACGAGAGCTCTCCAGGACGAGCAGCGGCATCGGCACCTCGTCCTCCTTCGACCCCCTCCCCTCTTTGCTCGCCAGCCGCTCGCGCGGCACCGCGGCGAGATGATCGAAGACGACCGGTGCGGCCGACGTGCGCACTCTCCGAGGAGTAAGGACGACGCTCGGCCAGCGGCCGCGGTCGAGACGGCGCCAGGACGAGGATAACATCGGGCGAGGAGACGTCGAGAATCTCTGGGATCCGGCGGCTCTGGAGGATGTGTCGGGCGCCGCGGGCTTCTCAGACTGGAGCGCTCTGGAACGGATTTGCGCATGCTTGGAGGAGTAGGAGGGAAGAGGAGGAGGAGGAGGAGGAGGATGAGGAGGAGGAGGAGGAGGGAGGAGGGAGGAGGGAGGAGGGAGGAGGAGGAGGAGGAGGAGGAAGAGGAGGAGGGGGAGGAAGAGTCCTAGCCCCGTCCGATCGGTGGCCAAAAGCGGCCTCACGCGCCCGCGGAGAACCACGCTGGGCCAGAGGACGCCAGCAGATCTCGCCGCGCACCCGTGCGGCCGGCGCGTGCGGCGCGCTGGGGAGGCCAGCACCGCCAGGGAGAAGGGCGGAGGCACGACGAGGAACGGTCGAAGAGCCACGCGCGGCGAACGTGCCAGGTCTTCTCCTCAGTCCTCAGTCCTCCTCCTCCTCATCCACCTCCTCCTTCTCCTCCTCCTCCTCAGTCCTCCTCAGTCCTCCTCAGTCCTCCTCAGTCCTCCTCAGTCCTCCTCCTCCTCCTCCTCATCTGAGTCTGAGTCTTCCTCAGTCCTCCTCAGTCCTCCTCCTCCTCCTCCTCCTCCTCCCTCCTCCTCCTCCTCCTCCTCTCCTCCTCCTCATCTGAGTCTGAGTCTTCCTCAGTCCTCCTCCTCCTCCTCCTCCTCCTCCTCCTCCTCCTCCTCCTCCTCATCTGAGTCTGAGTCTCAGTCCTCCTCAGTCCTCCTCTCCTCCTCCTCCTCCCCTCCTCCTCCTCCTCCTGAGTCTGAGTCTTCCTCAGTCCTCCTCAGTCCTCTCCTCCTCCTCCTCCTCCTCCTCCTCCTCCTCCTCCTCCTCCTCCTCCTCCTCCCGGGGAGCTCGGTGGGCGCCAGGGCCCAGGGGGCAGAAGCGCTGCCACGGCCCGCCTCGGGCAGCTGCTCCCACGTCCCCTGCAGCGAGATGTGGGCCCTGCGGGGGGCAGAGGGGGGAGGCACTGGGACACAGGAGGACACACTACCTTGAAGGGGCCCCAGGACACACAAATAAATACACACAAATAAAACGATTCCCCATATGTTCCCATATTTTCTGGGTTTCTGTCTTCCCCCCCACTTCCCATATTTTCCCATATTTTCCTGGGGGTCGACGATTAATTGTGTCTGTGTGTTTCTTTCCCTCCTGATACCTGGCCGACCGAAATCGATACCGAAGCGGATCGATCGGATCGAAGCTGGGCCGCGGGGAGAGGGGGTGCCTCGCGCGGATCTGCCTCGGACGGCGCGGACTGGCCAGGTAGGCCCCGCGCGGCCCTGCTGCCGCCCGCTTCGGAGGCAGCCGCAGGATGTGGGGGGGAGGCACAGAAGGACACACTGCAACCGAAAGTATGGCCAAGAAAATCGTCGGTCAAGAAATCGGGGCCGGTCTCCCAGAGGTCTCTCAACACGCGCCTGAGCCAAGTTCTGCTGTGGAAGCTGGAGGGGAGGCACTGGGACACAGAAGGACACACTACAGCCGAAGATATGACCAAGAAAATCGTCATTCGAGAAATCGGGGCCGGTTTCCCAGAGGCTTCTCAACGCGCGCCTGGGCCAAGTTCTGCTGTGGAAGCTGGAGGGGCCAACGTGCTCAAGAAACTGGGCCAGCTTTCCAGCAAGTTGGTCAAGAAACGCTGGCCGAGCTTCTTTGGAAGAGGTTTCTTAATCAGATGCTCGGCTGTAAGTGCTGATGTTGGAGGCGCACGTCCGACACGAACATATAGCACACGAGTCTCATATAAAGTCGTTTCCCGAGCGGTACGGCCAGAAAGCGCCCGCTGCAGAGCTCATACTACAAGATGTCTGAGCTTCGGCGTCGGCCTTGCGGAACCGACGCACACATGGTAGAAGTATCTTGGAGTGGTGCTGAAGCAACACGCATGATTGATCACGTCGCTGCGCAGGATCAGTCAGCATTGAGTCGAGAATCGGATCGGATCGAAATATGCGTCGGATCGGGCTCCATCGGCACGGAGCCCAGATTGAATCGGATCGGCTGCGCCGGGATGCACAACCACGACATGCAAGCTTTGGAAAGCATCGGATCGTCGGAATGCCGGAATCGAAGCGGATCGGGCCCGCCAGAATCGATATCGAATCGGAGCGATCGGATCGAAGTAGGCTTCATCCGCCTCGTCCTCATCCTCCTCCTCCTCCTCCTCCTCCTCCTCCTCCTCCTCCTCCTCCCTCCTCCTCCCCCTCCTCCCCTCCTCCTCCTCCTCCTCCTCCTCCTCCTCCTCCTCCTCCTCCTCCTCCTCCTCCTCCTCCTCCTCCTCCTCCTCCTCCTCCTCCCTTTTCCGTATAATCCGCCACCGTGCCTCTGGGCACGGAGTGGGCGTGTCCTCAAGTCCTGTGCCTGATACTCTAAGCCTCCACACTTGAGGAGTCTTAAAAGGCCCCGGACCCACAATTTCGAAATCGCTCGGAGCTTCCCGCGTGTCCCCTGGGCTCCAGGAAGTCCTGTCGCATGTTTTTGTCGGGCCCACGGCGGCTCCAAGATGGGCCCACAGGGCCCCAAAAGGCTCCCCAGACGGTGAAAGAGAGTCCCGAGTCGCCGACAGATCGGCCCAAGACGCCCAAGATGGCCTCAAGATGGCCCAAGAGGCCCCCACGACGCCCCAAGAGGCCTCCAAAAGGCCTCCCAAGAAGGCCTCATGAGGCAAAATTCCGTGATTCTCCTTGGGTGTTTGCAGGATTTGGACGCTCTCCGACGCTCCAAGGCGGCCCAAAAGGCCTCCAGGAGGGCCCCCGGACGGCCGCAGAGCGCCCCACGACGGCCCAGGAGGCGCCCAAGACGGCCCAAGAGGCGCCCAACAC